CCCTGTTCATGAAAGGGGAGTGCTGGAACTACAGTTTTGAGGTCCTTTCCAACCCAAACCATTCCATGATTCTCTGATTTAACCAGGATGAGCCAAAGCTTGACAAGAAAATTTAGGCAACCACCTTTAGGTCTTATCCGTAATTGTGTGTAAAAACTTGTACCAAGCAAGGCTCATAGATGAGTCCAATCTGTCCCAAACTTACTGATTCTATCCTGAATATCAACATGTGACAAAAATGCTTCTACAAATCCAGCAAAGCACCTGAGACTGAGCCTGAGAGCATGGAAAAGCTTGTGGCTTCAGTCGTGGACAGGGATGCCTCTCTTCCCAAAAGCAGCCCAAACTGACAACACTTCACCCTAGGCTTCCACCAATTTTAGGGTGGCAAAATAAATTGATGACGTGATTTTACTGTTCCCAAAAAAATCTGCTGGTGATGATGCAAATTTCCTGGGGAAGGGTGAGGAAGATGGAATTGCCTTCAATCCCAGCAAAGAATATAGCAATCTACATATGCACAGCCAAGGAAAAGAGGTGCTCTCTTAATATTTGACCAAAAACCAAGAGCAGGAATACAAAAGCTGCAGTCTCAGTCTCTTCCAGAACTGTTGAGTTCTCTCACCCTGAAGCAGCTCAGATCTCAAACTCAGCTTTCCCACTTGGAAAATACTTTGAAACTCCTTCATGGCCATAGGAATTCTCTGCCATGCACCATCTTAACCAAGATTTTGTATCAGTTTAATCAAAAACCAGATCTGTTCTCTCACACTGTAGAGATGTAGAGCTGAGCAGTCTCTCAGTTGCAGAAAAAAATCCTACGTGTTTCAATAATGTGCACTTCTAAAAAAAAATTAATTCCAGTGAGAAAAGTAAGGTGGGAGCTAGAAGTATTTTTTTTTTTCCTCAGATCAGGAGAAATCAACATTTTTTATTATTTTTTTTTCAGTAAATCTCATCAGTACTAAAATCTCATCAATGCTAAAAGCCCCAAAAATATCCTACTTATAACTCCTCCTTAAACAGGCAAATTATTCTGCTAGTAATTAGTGAAGGATCCAAAAATGCCACGGAGTGAAGACCCATGGGCTCCATCCCAGACACACCTGAAAATGGGAATAAGCTGTGATTGTGACTCAATGCTCTTGTTCCTCGTGACCTTGCAATGACACAAGGTCAAATGTGCAATAAGGTGACAAACTCCTCTCTGAGGTAAGCAGTGCAGAAGCCTGGTTTGGAAAGCCTGGATCAGTTCTGCAGCCACCCAGCCTCCAAGGAAAGGCCATCAAGGACCTTTCATTGCCACTTCAAGCTCGGTTTTATGGCTTCCAGGTAGCCAGCAAATGCCTCTTGCAGCTTGCTCGGCCACTTTGCTTTTCTTGAGGTCACAATAAGGCAGGGTCAGGTTGTGTGAAAATTAAAGACTTTTAATTGCTTTTTTCTTCTCCTAATACACCTCTCAGAGAGCATTGTCCAGGTTACAGGGAAGCTTTCATTTCCAGCCACTTTGTGGAGGATGTTGGGAGACCCAAGAGCTACACCAGTCAAAAGAAAGGAGACTGGTTTCCACTGTCTCTTGGAGACAATTCTCTACCTGGGTGCTTAATTTGATTTGCCTGAATTAAAAACTCATTACCTTCAGTGCCTAATGTTGGAGAACCCCCTCATCCCACACACTCTGGCTAAGGAGGCAGATAAATGCCTTGGACGCCTGGATTATTAAACCAAAGGTCAGAGAGAAAACAAATCAGTTGATTTTTCCTGCATCACTGGAGAAAGCCTCAGCTTTGCCTCCTGGCCCTAGCTCCTCTTCCCAGCTCCATGCACCTTTTTTCCCTTTGCTCCCACTCCCTTCCCAATTAATCCAGGGTCAGTTGCATTCAGCCAAGAGCTTTGTATGGGCATTTACATTTCACTTGCCAGCACAGCCAGCTCCAAGCATGCAGCACACAAATATTTGTGCTGGCTCTGGGAAGAGCTTTGACCAGGATTATTCACTTTGTGTCTGATATATACCCTGCTCACAGCAGCAGCCAAGTCTGTCTCACTGACTAGAGCTGGCATTCCATGTGGGATGAGCTCTCCCAAATTTACTTGCCACAGATACAATCCTTAATCTGAAAGACTCAGCTCTCAAAAGCAGAGAAACGATTTCAGAAAAGGGAGTTGACCAATGTGACTGTAAGAATCCTGCCCTCATCTGATGCCTTTGTGAGTCCTGTGCTTAAGAGGCAGAAAGTCTGCCTGGATTTGAAAAGGAAGCAGGTAACTCTGGGGATTTTTTCTGTTTTATCAGGGCCCTGAAGATGGGTAAGCAAACACTTCTGCAGTTTACAATCCAGAGCAGCTGAATGTCCTGTGTGGCAGAACAATTCACCATTAATCCCTATTCCCAAATACTCTGCCTTCCCTCATCTGCCTAATTTTAGGCGGCCTCCCTTTAGGCAGAGTGACAGCAACTTAACAAGAAAGTAGAAATTGTGGCAATTTTACTACTTAGATACCCAAAACCATTATCTTTTTCCTAACAGCCAGGGCTATAAACCTGCCAAGAGTTCCCTCACTGCTCCCATCTTCCAAGCTAGAGGGTGTTCAAGGAGACACATGCATCAGCCTCTGAAGGAGAGGGGTCAAGTGGCAGAGGAGGAAGATTAAGCCATGATTTGCAGCTGGGGAAGCAGAAAGCACTGCCCCAAAGGTCTCACCTGAAGAGCTGACCCTCCTGAGCTGAGATCTATGCAGCCCTGCCAGCTCCAGTGATTCATGGCACGCTGCTTTCTGCTGGTGCAGCTCTCACCAGAGTCAGGCAGAAGTTCTTGCAGAGCACTCGAGGCTGTTTGCCAGAATCAGGTGATGAGAAAGGGGGGCACTGGAAGGGCAGGATGGCAGAAAGGGAGGGTTGAGGGGAGGGGAGCTGCTGGTCCTCCTCAGCAGAGCACCCTGGTTCTTCTCCGTATGGAGATAAAAGAATTTAATGGGAGACTCCCCATGGGGAGTGGGGATGAACCAGGAGACAGCTGGAAGAATTCTGGGGCTGACAGGGATAGGGAAGCACAGTTAAAATTTTAAAAAGCTGCATTTAACTATCTGGACAATTAACAATAATTCCAAGATCAAAAAATAATTAGTGCAATTAGTGCCTTCTGCATCTATTTATGTAACTGCTCAGGAAAGAGGAAAATTATCCATCCATGTTTCTGGAGTGCTCTGACGAGTCGAGGAATTGATTCTTTAATTTAAAAAAAAAAAAACCACAACAGAATAGTTTAGGAGAGCAAAGACAATATCTGCATGATAGTCTTTCCTTGGTTAAGGATCTCCAGCAGTTATTAAGGTGCTTAGTGCTGCAAATCATTTTGTACGTGTAAACATCTTTGTTGATTACATCGATCTCCACAGGCTGACTTTTTACACTCTTTTTTACTCTTACATCCTCTCCAATCTCCTAAATTTACTTTCAAATCTTCTGACTATTACTATTTTTAATCCTGTGGTTTGCAAAACAGACTACATGTGAATTAGGGCAGATCTGATGAAAGCAGTGGATTGGAGAGAAAAGGGGAGACATTGCAAACAGGTCTGAGAGTTTATATTGAAGAGAAGGTCAGTAAAGCCCATCAGGCAAATAAAGAAATAACCCCCAAAGTCCCCTCTTTCTTCACAGCCAAATTTCAGCAGGAACAGTAGTCACACCCATGGAATCAGATATACTAAACAGTTAATTTTTGCCTGCAAGCTGCTTGAAGGAAGGCACCTTTAATAAATTGTGATACATTTGGGGAAGTCATTTGAATTCTGTAATTAGCACATGTACAATGACAGTGAACTGTGTGTGTTTGTGTGTACACAGCTCTGGAAGAGGGAGTTTAATGAACTGTGTCTCCTGCAACTGCAAATCAAGTTTCACTTTGTCAGTGCTGTGCCACATGATGCTATGATGCAGCTTCCAACACCACAAAACACTTTTCCTCCTATAAAATATCCTCTCCCTATTTTTTTTTAAATTTTTTATTTTTTTTCATAGAACCATGGAATGTTTTGGGTTGGAAGGGTTCTTAAAGACCACCTGGTTCCAGTGCCCCTGCCATGGACAGGGACACTTTCCCCAGGTTGCTCCAAGCTCCATCCAACCTGTCCTTGGACACTTCCAGGGATGGAGCAGCCACAGCTTCTCTGGGCAACCTGTGCCAGGGCCTCACAGGAGGGAATTTCCTCCTCATAGGGAAGAATTTCTTCCCCATATCCAATCTATACCTACTGCCCTTCAGTCTGAAGCCACTCCCCCTTGTTCTGTCACTCCATGCCTCTGTCACAAGTCCCTTTTCTCTTTCCTTTGGGTTCATGGACCTTGGCCAAGTAGAACTTGGGGGGTGAAAGAAAAGGAAAAAGCCACAGAAACATCTGTTTTGGTTTATCTCCAGCCAGCAGCTAAGCTCCCTCAGCTGCTCATTCAGTCTGAACTCGCTGGTGGGGTGGGGTGAGAGGCAGGAAAGGCCTTGACTCTGTGTAAGAACAGCTCAGCAGTAACTAAAATATCCCTGGATTATCAACACTGCTTTCATTATAAATCCAAACCATAGTCTCAAACTGGATACTGTGAAGAAAATTATCTCCATCCCAGCCAAAACCAGCACAGTTTCCTACTCCTGCTTCACTTCAAAAAATAAATACCCACCAACCCAACAACAAAGAAACAACCAAAAACAAAATAACAATGTCTCCAAGAACCACAGAAGGCCTTCTTTCACCATGGGTCATCTTTTTTGTGTTATCTCCACACCATTCTCTGCCACCTGAAACCAGCCCAAGCAAAGCTTTATGCGATCAATACACATCCTACCACCATTAATCACCGACAGGAACAGAAAAAAACAAAGCAATCCTGACAAAAAGGTGTCCAGCTATAATAAAAGGATGGAATAAAGGGTGAGGATAGATGAGGGGAAAAAATGAAAAGGCTGGGACAAAGAAAGATCTGCAACAATTTAAAATAAACTCACAGTCCATCCTGAAGCTCTTGAGTATCATTCGAGGTCCCCAGGGATCGAAGACTTCTTTCCAGAGAGGTCACTGTCAACAGCAGAGAAAGAGAAGATAAAGAAACAGCACACCTTTTCAGAAAAAAAAAAATAAAAAATACCGGATTTTTGTTCAGGTGCTTGTCATTTAATTTAATTTAATATTTTTTAAAAAATACAAGGAAGTGTTTGAACAAGTAACCTGTGAGAGAAAGGGGACATCTACCAGTAGCCACTGCCACAGAATGATAAATTGGGTCCTTTGGAAGCATAAATGGTGAATCCATGTATAACATGCCATGACATGATGGAATATGACCCCTTGTCAGGAAAACCTCTGTTCCATGGACCCTGCACAGATCTCTGGCTCTTCCAGCCTTGAGCTGACACAGAATTGTGCATTGAACATTTCCAGTTGGAAACGTGCCCCTGGTGAAGAGGCAAGAGATTGCATAATAACTATTTATTGCTCTGAATAATAATAATAATAATAATAATAATAATAATAATAATAATAATAATAATAATAATAATAATAATAATGGGGCAGAACGCTGATGTCTACTCTGATATCTCCCATCTTCTTGTTCAAGACTGTCCATCAACCCAGGACAAACACTCAAAATGTTTTCTGTCTTTTGGCTCAGAATAAATGGAGATGTGATCATCTTCTGTGTTTGTGCTCAACATATTCTTGGGCTTTTCCATCAGGAGAGAATATCCTAAAAGCAACTGGAAGGTGCAAACATGATCTGCTCTGTAATTTTCAATTACTTCAGATTTAAAAAATATCTATATATATGTGTGTGTATATAAAAGCAGTAATCTAGGAATACTGTTGTATTTTTCCACTCTTGAATTTCATTGTCTTAATTCACTTTCAAATTAACAACAGGTCACTACCTTTGGATTTAGCACAGCCAGCAAGCAAAGCAATTCAAGATTTCCCACAATGAAACATGTTAAATAAATTACATTCTTGATATTTACATGTGGGATTTCTCTCAGGACGTTTCCAACTGTAAAAACCCATAACCTGTTATCAGTCACGCTTCAGTATTTAAGGACAGAAAGAAGAAAAGATTAAAAACATGGCTCAATTATTTCGGCAGAAATTTAAGAAATCCTCTGCTTTAATGACTCTGCAGACTTGGACTTGGCCTGTAGTTTTGAACAAGTCACTTAATTATATTTCCACTGACAGTCAAAATCCACTCTTCTCTTTTGGGCTCTGCTGGCTTGACACCAAAAGTCACTAAGCAGCATAAGAAGTAACTAATGTGCCTGAACTACATGAATATTCAAAAAAAAACTTTGAATAGCACCATGTATTTCCACCAGTGCTAGTTCTCAATAACAGATTTTACTGCAGAGTTTGGAGATTCAATAAGATAAAGCCTCAAGGAATTGTCTATAACTGAGCTAATAATTATTCTTCTTTGCTGGAAGCACAATGTTTTAAAGAAGAAATTGGAAGTTTTCACCAATAACCACTTGCTTCTGTAGAAGGACAGTACTGGCCCTGCAGAGATCTCATGGATACTATAATTCCCTCTTTCCCTCTCCACAATCCTAACAAATCCATTTCTCACACTATATATGCTGTCCAGTTCAAACACAAATTTTTTCATCAATTAAAAATCCTTCTGGACCCATCAACCCTTTGGAACAAAGCAGAGTGTGGTCCTTGGAAAACAGACAACAAGCCAAGGTGAAGAAAGGACTTGTGTGGACACTGAATTTGTAAGAACCAGTTAATGTCATGTGTGCAATTCCAGAACAAAATCAGCAGCTACAGCCTCCATGAACCTTTCTAACCTGACCCGAGAAAATAAGGACAATTCAAAGTGAGTTTTGCTGAAGCTGCTTTGGAGATGATTGGACAGGAAAGCAGTTTTGCTACTGAACAGAACAGTTCAAGACTTCACACTCATGCCATTTCACACTAAGGCAAACCCAGGAGCTGACAGATTTGTTCGGCATTTTGGAAAACCTGCGAAAAGTTTTAAAGAAAATGAGACATGAATGAAAGAGGTGAGGAAAGTGTTTGTCAGTTAGATGAGAATGTGACCTGGATTAAGTTCTTATCCAATAATTTTATCTAATATTCCAATTCAAACATAGTATTTAGAAAACTAAATAAATGTCAGTTGTCCCAAAATGACAAGATATGCACTCTGGAGGACCAGAGGTTGCCATTTGCTATAGCTCTTATCTGGAAAACAGCGGGACTAAGGCTCCAACGTGAGTTTGCTGAATCTCAGGAAAGCCGAAAGCATCCTGGGCTACATCAAAAGAGGAGTGGTCAGAAGCTCAGTGGAGGTGATTCTCCCCCTCTGCTCTCCTCCCATGAGACCCCACCTGCACTGCATCCAGCTCTGTGGCCCCCAACACAAGAAGGATGGACCTGTTGAAGAAAATCCAGGTGGCCATGGAGATGATCACGGGGCTGGAGCATCTCTGCTCTGAAGCCAGGCTGGGACTGCTGGGATTATTCAGCCTGGAGAAGAGAAGGCTCTAGAGAGAACTCAGAGCACCTTCCAGTGCCTAAAGGGGCTCCAAGAGAAATGGAGAGGGACTCTGGACCAGGGCATGAAGTGATAGGACAATCAGGAGAGGATTTACACTGATGGAGGACAGGCTTAGACTGGATATTAGGAAGAAATTCTTTACTGTGAGGCTGGGGAGGCCCTGGCTCAGCTTGCTCAGAGAAGCTGTGGCTGCCCCAACCCTGGAAGTGTCCAAGGCCAGGTTGGACAAGGCTTGAAGCAACCTGGGATAGTGGAAGCTCTCCCTGCTCATGGCAGGGGGTTGGAACCAAGTGATCTTTAAGGTCCTTTCCAACCCAAGCCATTCTGTGATTCTATAATCAAATCTGGGCTACTCCCATTTAAATCTAACTTTCTTTGACCAAGAAAAAATTCATCAAAATCTCTGCAGTTCCTGTGCTGGATGTGGAAAATCTCTCTCAATGTACCAGTTCTGTTCATGTGAGCAGTAATTTGACCAGAGGAGCAGAACATCAGGCTTTGCTGGAGGGATGTGTGAAGCCATTCGTAAAACAGGAATCTTATTTTAAAAGCCTTGTTCTTTTTGTTATTAAAAAGCACGTCTGAGTCCTCCAGAATGAGACACATTCACAAGGCATCAGTGATGTTGGGGCTGCACTGGTTTGCTGCACTGAGAGCTTGGACCCCAGTTGCCTGTGCCATTTCATTCCTTAAATCAATGGGGGATAAATAACCATCCTGGGATGGCAGTGGAGACCCTGTCATACCTGAGGGATGGGGAAAAAATCCTCTGCTTAGACTTTAAGATCGAGGAAATGGGACTGCACGTGGCACCAACCTGTTATGGGCCATCATTAATGAGTGAGGAGCAGGAATTAGAGAGGCAAGAGACCCATCAGAGAGGTCAGGTTCTCCATCTGGGCAGCTCAGGTCTGATTCCTCCAGCATATCCTCCACTGATCAGACAAGATGCACCAGAGCAATTCCAGTTAGGAGTGTTATTTATTGCACTTATTTATGAGGGCAGAATTTGAGCTCCTTTTTGTGTCCTGATAGGAAAATCAACTAAATTTAAAAACCCAAAAACATGAAAGCGACAACCTGGTCTACTGGAAGGTGTCCCTGCCCATGGCAAGGTGTTGGGACAAGATGACTTTTAAGGTCCCTTCCAATCCAAACAATTCTGTGACTCTATGATTCTAGGAACCTTCCCCATTTTCAGCAGGAACAGCCCCAAAAGATTAAGAGAAAGAAAGCAGATGCAAAGATTAGGGAAACTCTTCCTCTACCCCTCCATACTTCTGTAAGAGATGGCCTTAAAAAAAAAGTCAATACTCACGACCCAGCATGGAGAGTGATCCAGTAGCACATAAACAGAACCAGCTGCCCTGCCTAAGATTTTTATTCAACAAATGAGGGAGATTTCCATTTTCATGGCAGAAAAAGGGAACAGGAAGCATTTATAGGTGAGAATAATCAACTCAGAGCTATAAAATCCCCCTTGGTCAGGAAGCAAGTCCTGAAGTGCCCAAGAAGAATTGAAATCACCCCAAAGGCTCAGAATTCTGTAAAAAGAATAAGGACAGCAAAGAGGAACAAAGCACACAGTGTTTATTACTCCTGCAGTGTTTCTCAATAAAATTCAATGGCGCTTTAAAATCCTGGGACAAAGTTGACTTCTTGTTTCATTAAAAATAGTCATTCCCCAAAGACATAAAAGGTATTGCTGAGATTGGCCACAACCTGGGATTTTCAGAATCTAAACAACAAAAAGCACAACATGGCCAATTCCTGACAGCTCGGAAGAGCCTGGCCAGGGAAGGGGGTGAAGTCACAATTCCTGGGAGTGTTCAAAAACAAACCGACAAGGCATTTCCCAAGGTTTAGTGGCCTTGGTGTCATTCAGTCAAAGCTTGGACTTGGAGATCTTGGAAGTCTTTTCCAACCTTAATGAGTCTATGACTCCACGATCCTATGATCTTCAGCACCCAAAAAAGGAACAGGAACATTTCAGGTGCATGGTTAGCTCTCCAAACACAATGGGGAACCTGAAGAAAATCAGAGAGGCTGCAGCAAGCCAGGAAACGAAGGGAAAGAGGAGCTGTGATAGGATTTATGCAATTTTTAGGATGCTCAAGACACCATGCCCAGCACAAGAGAAGTAACCACATCATCTGGCGAGCATCTGGAACGTAGCTGCCTGTTCCTTGCTCAGCCACTTGTGTGGCGCTACAGAAACAACATCACTGACCTATTTTCCATGCTCCAAGTCAGGGCTTCCTGAGTTTCCTGAAGAGACTTTACAGCACAGAAAGAATCATGGGCATTCTTCCCCATTTTCTAACCCTAAAAAGTTCTTTACCTAAAGTGAATTAGCTCTGCTAAATCTTAACAGTACACTCAGCAGCCTTCTCCTGAAAGTCTCTAACCACGTTTTGGGGGAAAGATTATAAAAAATAATCTGAATGAAGCTGATTTTGTCAGGCAAAAAATAATACAGGTAGTGAACAGAGGAACAACAGTAGAGTATCTTATGGGCATTCCTTCAACCTGAAAGCACTTTAAAAGGCATTATAGATTCATAGATTCATAGATTTTAAAAGCCAGAGAGAGCAATTCTGATTATCCAATCTGATTCCCTCCCATAAAATTTTGTCCCATCAGTCCCACATCAAGACCGTGGACTGCAGCTGGACTAAAGTATATCTTATAAAAAAGACATTTGAATCTTGATTTAAAGGTTCATGGCAAAGCCAAATCCTCCAAGCCCCCTCCATAAGCAGTTCTAATGGCTGGTTATCTTCATACAGAAGGACTGAATTTGTCTACTTTTAACTCCTATCTCCTGATCTCCTTCTGTGTGAGAACGATAGATAAATGAGCCCCTTGCTATCTATTTGATGTCTTTCTTCCTAGAGAGGTGCTTATACACCACAATCAAGTCCTCTTAGATGTCTCAAACAGAAATTTGGTTGGCATGAATTTTAAAGTCTGATTTTCAGATGTCAAACAGTTTTGGCTTTTCTCTGCACCCTCTCTATTTTTGCAATAGTTTTAAGTGCATTCATTGTCATTATCTGCTTCACAGAGCAGTTCAGGCAACTCTTAAAAGGAAACACATCATCACCATCTCAAGAGGAGAAATAACAACAACAGAGGTTGTCAGACATGAATTGAAGGGGTTAAGGCAATACTAACAAAGAATGAAAACAGAAATTGGGTTGTGGTATTTTGAAAGAGATGTGCCATTCACTTTTAGGTTTTCTCAGGATAAAACTCCACCATAGAAGGAGCTGTGATTAAAGCACAGGGGCACATCAAGTCAGCCCTAATCTGTCCAGCTTGGACAAGAACAGCACACCCAGACTCACCAGAAGGTTCAGTCTGAGCCCTCATTTTGGAAGTAGAAGTGCTACTACCACTCATCACTGGCACTGTCGAATTAAAACCATTGGTGCTGGAGCAGCCAAAACTGCTAATGCAGTTTTTTCTGTGTGTTATGATGTGGTTTTTCACCCACCTGCCAGTCAAGCACCCATGACCACAACTGGGAGGTTCAAGCTCCCACAGTGGCCATAATCCCATTTTTACATGGGATGTGTGTCACCAATACAAGGATCACCAACCCCTTGTAGTTACAGAAAAACTGGTGCTTGAATTTTCCTGGCAGAGGGAGCACACACAACTCATCAAAAGTACAGACAACTACATTTTAGAAGTTTTTAATTCCCATCCTTGTTCTAACAAGGATCACTTGCTACGGCGACCAGGGCTCCACCCCTGGGTCACACTGGGGAAGAATTACACAAATAAGGAGGCACTAAAACCCTTTCCCTGAACCTAGGCTAGGTTCCTCTCTGTCACCCAAGACAGAAAGAACAGACACAGAAGCTGTCCAGGTGACTCCAAAGCAATTTCAAGGTCTACTGTAAAATCAGCACTGAAAATTTCAGATGCCTGTCCGACACTGCTGTATTTTACAGCTGGGGTACAATGGCACTGCCTTCCACTCAGCAAGGTTAGTTTTTATCTGTCTGCAAGATAAATTCCTCCAGCCTAACCCAACAAAACTGATGAGCAAGAACCTGTTTCAAAGGAGGGAGGACTCTGCATCTCTAGGGGCTGGGGAGATAGGAGCAGCAAAAGCACCCCTGCCCAGCCACAGAGTGGAGAACAGCAGAGTTTTGGTTTTTCTAAGGGAGATAGATGTTTTGCAAGCTCATGTGACAGGCTCTGAACACAGTAGTGCTGCAATGAAAATGAGCCTGCCTTGTTCCACCTTTCTGAGCTCTAGCTCTCTATTGTAACAGATGACATAATTAAAAATAGAAAAAGGATGTGGTCTTAGCAAGGATTGGAATATGTCTGTGCCTGTTGGATGGAACATATGGTGGAATATTTTTACATCTTATAAGGAGCTGTGTATTGGACATGTGCTGCTGCTCATGAGATGCAGCAGCAGAAAAGCTGCATTAATATTTGCTCCCTGACAAGAGGAGCTGCCAGGGGCCGTGTCCATGCTCAGGAATCATCAGCAGGACGGCACAGAACGCACCAGGAAACCTTTCATTTTACGCACCATTGGAGTTAATTCGGAAGACATTGGCTGAAGTCTCCTGAAAAAGTTCCTGCAGTTCGCTGGGATCAATCTGGGTGGCTGTGAAGAGAAGAACAGAGAACAAATTGTGTTAATACTGCACATCACCAATCACTTTGAGAGGGAGAAGGTGCTTTGAAAGGGATGTAGATTCCTCCTTGCTGCAGAAGTTTAGCCCAGGTAGGGTGGTCTGATGCAGCTTTACACAGTGCCTGGCCATGGAACTTGCACTGGACAGACAAATCCAGCAGCACCAGGACAGTGAAGGTGCTGCTGCAACACAGTGGATACAGCCCACACGGGTTGAGATGGCATTTATGGGGATCATCAGCAATCAGAATACAAATAATTCCACCTCATTTATGGAGTGGGAGTATCAGAACCACGACTGCATGACAAACCACAATGCCAAGTGATGGTCAGCCAGCACTTTCCAGAGCAGGAGGGCTCGTGAGCAGGTCCTGCCTGTGGAAAAGGGCAGGAAGCAGAGAGCAGAGGGCACCTGCCCCGTGGGGTCAAAGCTTTTGGGGCAGGTGGGAGCTCAGTGGGATCTCCACACATTCCTCCCCCAGCCCCCAAGAGAGGCTCCACTTCTTCCCATTCCTTCCTGATAGCTCAAATGGAAAGGGAAATTCCAGTGCCATGAATTTCTACTGCTGGTGCCCAGAAAAATTCTCACACTTCATTCCCAAGGTTCCCACTTTAGCTAAGGTATTCAAATCTGCCCTACAAGAACACTGAAGTGAGGGTTTCAACATTTTAGAGTTTCAGGTTTGGTAGAAGGTAGGGTGTGTTTCTTTTTGTTGGTTGGCTTTTTGCTGGGTTTCTTTTGTTGGTTTTTTTTTGTTGTTTTTTTTTTTCTTTTTCTTATTGTTTTGTTTGTTTATTTAGGATTTTTTGTTTGTTTGGGTTTGGTTTTTTTTGTTCTGATTTTTTAGCTTCATTTCCCAGCTTCAAAATCCCTGAAACTGTCCCCAGCTTCTCCACAGTTTCATCCTCCCCAGAGAAGGAGTGATGTGGGGTTGGACTGAGCTATACTAGAGAATCACAGAATGGTTTGGGTTGGAAGGGACCTTATCCAGTTCCACCCCCCTGCCATGGACAGGGACACCTTCCACTATCCCAGGTTGCTCCAAACCCTGTCCAACCTGGCCTTGGACACTTCCAGGGATGGGGCAGCCACAGCTTCTCTGGCCAACCTGAGCCAGGGCCTCACCACCCTCACAGGGAGGAATTTCTTCCTCATATCCAATCTAAATCTGCCTTCCTTCAGTTTAACACTATTAATTATGGCTGTATTAAATCCATCTTACAGAGAAAGGACACATCATGTAAATAAGCTTTAACAAGGCACTTCAATTTTGATTGTTCACAGTCACCAGAGAAACACTCATTTGTAGTAATGTCACCAGTTTCAGGGCAGCAGCTTCCCAGCAGATTTTTGTGTTTTTATTCTGCCTCCCACCTGTGTCAATTTTTGAGTTTCCCAGAAGCTGCTTTACCTGAAACTTTGGTCACATCCTGAAGCACCCCAGGGCTTGTCCATCCAAAAGAGTCCAACAGCCCCAGTTTTTACCCAGCTGCTCCTCTGAGTGAAGCATCTCAGACTCAAACAGGAGCTGAGATTCATTTCTTTTAGTCAGCAGACTGGAGCTCTGACCTCCTCTGCACCCCTTAACCAGAATTCCCTAAGCTGCTAAAACACCAAGCACCCAACCTGCACCTGGCAGAGCAGAAAGACAACGATGGAGCAAGGCAAAAACGAGGGAAATTGGGAAAAATGAGAAGCCTGATGGATGCACTGCTCAGGTTAGGGCTGAGGATGCATCTCCCAGCGCTGGAGGAGCAGCTGCACATCCAGAGAGCAGATTTTCCACTGCTTCTCACACTCACTGAGAGGTTCAGCCCTGTTACAGCTGTAAATAAAGTCATGGATCAGCCTGTCAGCACGACACAAATCCAGGGTATTAAATGCTGTTTAATCCAAATGCACAGGCCCTCATTGATAGAGATTTTCCCACTCTTCCTGCAGTTTCTCCTAAATCAGCTGTCCCAGACACTCCTTTCCTTTGTTCTGCAGAGGAGGCTGCAGAACAGCAGAAATCAGCACGGGCTCCCCTGTCCCCCAGGAATTTCACTTGTTACTAACAGGGTCCAGATCTCATTAAATCACTGCAAAGAGCAGGACAGGGTAAGATTTTTAGATCTTTACAGACTGTGAATACCCCCATTTTAGGAGTTTTTTCTTGGATTTTCAGGGTGCTAACATATTCCAGAGAAAACCGGTCTGCAGATTTTGCGATAGAACTCATTTTGCATGGGTGGGGTTTTTTTTAGAGGATGGGGAGAGGGTTTATTTAACTTCTTTATTTCTATTCTTTCCTTAGAAACACTAAATTTGCCTCAACAGATTTTCATCCTGGCCCAGTGAGTCCACATGCACTGAGGTACTGAACAAAGCCTCAGATGAACCCTGAAGCAACCAACTCACGGCTTGGGAACTCCCTCAAGAGCTCAGTGTAATCACCCAGCTGGGAACAATATTGCTTTAAATCCCCAAATAACCCAGACTGCAGACTTCAGTGGGTTCCCACGTGGGGACACTCCTGCACAGCACCCAGCAGGTGCTTCTGAGGAGCGTTTCAAATGCCAAAGGCACACCAAGAGCAAAGATGAAATATCCCAAAGGTTGCAAAAGGCAGGAGAAGCGCCAATTTCACTGCACGGACTGTGCACGCCTGAGAAGGAAACACAGAGCGACACTGAGAGCCCAGAGTTCTTCCATGAAGTTAAAAACTACCCAAAAATTCAGGTTTTTGGGAGGGTGAGATTTAATTACATTTATTGTTATATTTATTGTTTAATTATATTTATTGTTAGTTTTCTCGCTTTGAGCCACAATCCCCTAATTGGAAAGAGACAACAGATGTGGATCATACTCTGAAATCATGGAAATAATTCTTTTTTTAAGCTTCCACATATTCATTGTAGTCAAAATTACTTAAATGGAGGCCTCAAAGCCTCTCAGTCCACACCTATCTTACAGCATTCATGATCACTCTCATACCTAAAAAAATGCAAATTAAATCTAAAATAAAACCAAAAAACAACAAAAAACAAACAAACAAAAAACCAGTAAGGCAAATGAAACCTTTTTCCAAAATTTCCAAACACTGACTTTGAAAATGCAATTCATGGAGAACGTTTTTTTTTCTGAGAAAATTGCACTGTATCTGGCTTGCAGTTTCCTGCCCCTAGACTTTTATTTCATGTCACAGCATGCTGCCAGTTCTGGCTTTTATTTTGTTTCTATTTTGCAAAAGAAAAGAAAATAGTAACAAGAAGGCTGTTTTAACTACTCCAATTTCAAGCTTCAACACATCAAGCTGAGATGTTGTAACTGTTCATGCAGGATGTAGCAGTTCAAGCAGACAAGCAGAACAATATGAAGACAGCAGCAGAAAGCAAAGCAAAACTGCATCTGTACTACCAAGGCAGCCAAGGAAGACAAGCCAAGACTGAGAAGCAAAGTGGATGTGAAGTCTGATAAAAAATTAAACATCTTTGATTACATCAAGTGAATACTTAAATGTTTTGATTCCCCAAGAAGGATTAGGAGGTTTCTGATATGCATTAAATTATGTTATGCATTAAATACATGCCCTGACACTAATAAGTTCAGGGCCACAGCTGGGAAAAAAGGACTTTTATATGTACTGAGTCCCCAAAGCTCTGAAGGCTTTGCAATGGATGTGTTACAGAATCCCACACACAAATGGTTTCTCCTTTTTTTCCTTATCTGGACATTCCCAAAACAAAATTTGTACTGTTTATATTTATTTTTCCAGAAAAATCCCCTTGGATCCCAGGACAACCCGACTTCCTCTGCTATCAGTTCAACACCTCCCTGCCTAGGATATAGTGATAACCTGCTATATTTACTGCTGTTATATTTATTTTTATATTTATTATTTTATTTTATCTATTATTTTTATAAATCATAGAATGTTTGAGGTTGGAAGGGACCTTAAATATCATCTGTTCCTGCCACCATGGGCAGGGACACCTTCCACTAGACCAGGTCACTCAAACCTTCACCAACCAATTCCTAAAGCAGCCTTCCTTAGCAGCTAACAGTGGCATTTCTGATATTTGCCTATTTAATTCTTCTTTTCTCTGCCTGAAAAGCCCCACAGGCACCCAGGTAAGCACAACAGATGGAAAAAAGAGCTTTTCAATACCTGCTCTGCCAAAGCAAAGTGTGTCAATGCACACCCTGCAGGGGGAGGCCTCAGCTGTGAGTGAGACCTTGAGGAGCTTTGTGACTTGGGTGTGGGGTTTTATCCCAGAAATATTCCCTTCCTCTGGGCAAAAATCTGTGAGGTTGCAGCAAGTTTAAATCCAGCCATGCAACATCACCTCACACCCATCTGCTGTGACATCTCAGACCTCTGTGTTACCTGCCACTCTCTGGATCAATGCAAAAAGAAAAGAGAAAAAAAAATAAAAAAAAAGGAAAGAAAAAATAAACTGATTTGTGGAATCACTTAGGTTGGAAAAAACCTTTGAATCCAACCATTTAACCAAGCACTGCCAAATCCACCACTAAAATGTGTGCCTAGAGTGCCACAGCTACACATCTTTCAAATGTCTCCAGGGATGGTGACTCAGCCACTTCCCCTGACACCCTGTTCCCATGACTGATGAGCCTTTCATTGAAGAAATTGTTCCTAATGTCCAATACAAACCTCACCTGGTAAATCTTGAGGCCATTTCCACTTTTTCTACCATTTCCTACCTGGGAGAAGTGACAGACCCCAGCCTGGCTGCAATCTCCCTTCGGGGAATTGTAAGGAGTGGTTGAGAAGCTTAAAAATCCATGCAAGCCTTACACTTGATTTTTGCGACCACTGTTTCAGAGAACGCTCAGAGTTCATCCCTTTCCATGATCCAGAGCAATTATAATCTTTAATTCATCACAATTCTGTCTGCAGGAGACAGCTCTGGATGAGGACAGGCCAGTGGAGGGATGTGGTGTCTGTGCTTGGAGCAAAGTAGAG